CTTCAGCTTGACAGATTGATCGCATTTTCCCTCGCGTGACACCATTAACTGCTGGCTAGATGTCTAACTGGGGCTCGCCGGAATTACAAGTCGCACTAACATCTGTTTGTGTCTCTCCACCTTCTCACTTGACGGATGGATCATATTACATTGCTTCTCGTGTGACACTGTGACTTATTGCGGGTTCCAATACGAGGTCCATAAATCCCATCTCAAGTGCTTCTATGCGCCCCCTTGTACCGCTGCCGACTTCAGATAAACGGACTGAAATTCAGACAAGTCATCAAGGTTGATTCCGGAACAGCGGCAACACCATGTGACATTCAAATCGAAATGCTTAGGCACAGGTAGCATTCTAGGCACCGATGAATTGGTCGAGATATGATAGCGGTCAGAACCAATGACCAGAGGGAAATAAATAGCTCACACACGATGGACTGCCTGGTGGTTCCACATACCTGTTAATTCTCGCTCACCTCGGACATGTGACAAGCGGACCGGCTCTGGTTTACCTTCCGACACGGATAGCCTGCGGTTAATATAGGAGACGGCATTCACAACACACACCAAAGATAAGTCACCACTGTTCCACTATGCTTCTACTTCTTCGTTAAAGTGAGCATAACTATAATCCCCGTTCTTTCACCGCGGGCTTTAACTTACCTGAACTTAGAAAAATCACCACCATTTCCCTGCTAACTTGTAAGGTTGTTTACTCCATCTCCGTCATCTTCTTTGTGTCATCCTTATTCTATCGCACATGTGAGTCGTGCTTGGGTACAGTTTCCCTCTAGAAGGGGTAAATACTGACTTGGTGCAATGTAATATATTTATTGCACCTGCCTAGAACGGATGAGTCACATCTAACCTACCATTATAGGGCTTGCCTAACTCGGTTGTATTTCGCGGTTATTTCACGTGTTGCCCACTACACTGTTCTACTCATCATGATCGATGATACCCTTGCTACCTTCTCAAGTGGAGTCTAGTACGGTGACATACTGAGACGGAGAGCTACGGCATCTTCCTTTTCGTATTATCATTCGGCCGCGATTCACATCACTATGTAAGCTCCCTGATATTGCTCACCAAACTATGCTATCTACATTCTGCCCCTTGAAATCGATTTGTAGATTACATGACCCTAGCTTGACCAACTGCCCAATGCTAACTAGCACGACACTTAGAGAACCGATGCATTGCTGAACAACGGTTCAGTCCATCTATGAGCTCATTCGTATTTGAGGTGCGCGCGGAGTTTCCAAGCGAACTGTGCTATTGCTACGGATCAATACGAGGGTGGCAAATTAATGAGTATGTTTCTAGTTCGGTAGATACGTGTGAACCCAAGGATTAAAAGCGCTTGGCCGCTTAAAGTACGCATAAAGTTTGATATCTGGAGCATACAATGATCAACGATTGTCCCTCGTGTGACCACGTTGGACTATGCATCCGAAGAGAAATTACCCGGGGAAAATCCGTGGAAAGTGAACAATCCCGACAATTAATGATGAGAGTGAGCATAACTTTATTTCCCGTTGTTCATCAGCCATTCGGAATTCATCGGGGTTTATGAAAACCCAAGTACCAAGCGGATTGAAGACGGAAGCGTAGAAACGCTTCCTAGAAGTTGAATTGGACATGACCAATCTTCTGGATAAACTAAGAAAAAGGGAAAGACAATAAGAATACGTATATTTCTCTTGATGAGAGAAACTGTGTCTATAGCGGCACAGATCAATCTGTACAGAAGAATCCACGCTCTTGCATGGGTGACATGCATAGGTGGAGTATTAAGATATACGTTTTATGTTTTAACATTCTGGCGGATGGTTGAGGCCAAAGCCTATTTATAAGAACATTGGTGTTTATATGTTTTTGGGCCCCTCTTGGAATAGCTCATTGAGGTATTTTTCCTATGTGAATATAGAGATTATGGTAGTTAAACCAAGGTAATTGTCGAGTCTGCTTCAAAATGTTGCCACGGGACCTGAGTGTTTTTGGTAGTTTATTCTACAGATAGCTGTAACTGACCAGGAAGAAATTAGAGCGGACGTTCGCTCTAGCCTGCGGTATATTCAATGTAAAATCTTTGTTACGAAGCACTCGAGTTGAGCAATGTTGTAAATTGAGTGTAGGCAGGTTGGAATAGATCTTTTTGTGTAACATATTGAAAAGCATCAACAAGTTGTGCTTCAATCGTCAAATCCAAAGTGGTTCGAGATGAAGTTCATTGCAACGTTCTCGATAACTCATAGCAGTGTTTACCAATCAGATGTTTAGTAAATGACTTCTGCAGGTTCTCCACAGCAATTCTGTCATTCTTTCTCATATTTCCGTATATTGTGCTGTAGTGTTCGAGCATGGGGTGAGTGAGTAGCTTGAAAAGCTCAGCTCTAGCACGAGTTGTGTGCATTTTGTTTGATATATTGAACTGTCTGGCCTGTTCGGAGAAATTGAAGGTAAAGGAGTACTTAATGCCAAGATCTCGCGTGGACCACTGTATAGGGAGGCGTTCATTGTTTAGGGTGATAGATCCTTCGGGAATGCAGCAAGCGTAAGACATGATGCTGGATTTCTTAGCCGAGAGGTTCATCACCCATGTGCAACACCAGGACTCAAGGGAATGTAAATCATCTTGAATGTGCTGTAATGTCCCGTGAAGCTCGTCACGCCGAAACTTATAGACTAGTTTGATATCGTCAGCAAATAAAAATAAAGTACCATGTTTACAAATGTGGTGATCTCATTGGTGTAGAGCGAAAAGAGTAAGGGACGAAGCACGCTCCCTTGAATGACTCCACTGGTAATTGAGCGTGAGGAAGAACGATAATCACCTAGAGTGACTACCTGATGACGATCACTCAGGTATGACGATAGTCAAGCTAGTAATGAGTCCCGGATCCCAAAGTTCTCCAACTTTTGTAACGGTCGCTTGTGTGGTACTCGGTCGAACGCTTGGTGTATGTCAAGAAACAAGATTACTACTGCATAGCCGGAATCGATTGATTCTGAAATGTGATTAAGATAATGCAGTTGACAGGTGGTGCACGGTCGCTTAGTAAGAAAACCATGCTGCGAATTGTTGATCAGGTCAATAGAATCAACAACGTTTATCATCTCCATTCTAATCAGCTTTTCAAATAGCCGAGCGATTATCGGAGTGTGATGGATTGGTCGGTAGTTATCAATCGTTTGTTTGGGACCTCCTTTATGCCGAGGATAAGAAATGACGTTTTCCATTGGTCTGGAAAGTGGCCAGATTCCAGAGATAGAGTGAACATGCTCATCAGTAGCAATGGTATATCAGGTCCTCCTAGTTTACTGGTGGTTGGTGAAATGCCATCAGATCCCAGCTTGGAAGATGGCCTGATTAATTTGATAACTTGATAGCGTTGAGCGAGATATCGACTCTGCTTAAGAGGTTTGTTTCGGTGAGCTCTGTGCACACAGGTACAGGGTCAGCTTCGCGACTCATGATAGTGGCAAAAAAGGCGCTGGATACTTCACAGATTTCATCTGGGTCATGGAGTTCGACACACAACCCCTATTGAAAGCTCGGTCCAATTTGAAATAGACTACCCTCATTCCGATCACCGGGACCGCATCAGAGGTGGAGCAGGAGTTTCACTGTTACTCGCACCCGACGACGACCGGTTTTGTCCTCGCAGAGTCTGGACCGGGATCTAGTAGTCGTCTGATGCAATTAGGTCCTGTGTTCCACTCCAAGCTCGTGCTATTTCTCTTCGGGGAACCCTAAACGTGAACGAAACTGAACGTGGGGTGTGCCGTTATGAGCGAGAAACGTCAATACTCCTCCAATAATAACCGTCTTCTTTCTATGGTATGTTCAATTACCACACCAAAGTAATGCGATGCTTCTAAATCCACATGAAATCCCTGGCCTGTGTTTTCCGACTTAGGTGTCTTTCAAGTGAATAATTTACGATAGACACAAACCAACAGGTCAGCAGGAACAACTGCCATGAAATCCATGGAGGTCACCAGAAATGCACCCGATATCTCGTACGTTTGTGAACGGTCAACTCAGGGGCAAGTGTCTTGGTGCTTTTCAAGCTTAAAACATATACCGGTTTACACACGTCAGCGAAGTATTTCGCAACCTAGGAAGATAATCTTTTTATGCTCTAACGCTCATGTTAATATTCAAATTCGTAGATGAACGAGTGCTTTGACTATACTGTGCCAGGTTTAGTTTCCACGACCCACTTCACAATGAGCAAATCTTGTTTGTACGAGCGATAAAACTAATTCCCGGATGCAGCGGATTAACGAGGAAGTATATAGTTTATTCTCTCATCAATCAACATTTTGAAGTGTCGTGTATGCTTTTAAGATTATAAACGATCATTTGCAGACACCGCATGATGACCTACAACTTATTTCTAACTGCTCTCAGTCAAGGTCCCTCTATTCTCGCACTTCACCACATACCGCATCTCTGTATTGCCATCCGTGCATTATTTGACCAGGCGAAACGTGTGATGCCAATGATACTATTTGACCGTATAATGTGACGCAAACACGCCAAGGTGAAGCATACACTTTCCAACAATCCTGCGCGCTTCAAACACGTGATCGTGGGGATAATCAAGTGGGGGGTTGATGTATATGCTTTTGCTGTGAAAGTTATCACAACTCCGGAACACACGAGCGTTCTACAACCGGAACAAATCAAGGTGGTGAGCATCGTGAGACCAAATAACGCGGATGGGATAGGGATGCAACTGCGAAAAGTCACCAGTTAGATCAAAGCGAAAGGAAGTAAACGAAAGTTCTGTCGTACGTCCAAATCTGATTTATAAGTGGGAGTAAAAAACACTAACCTTGATACAATGTGTGAAAATAGAGAACTGAACGGGCGATTTGAAGTACATGTGTAAAAATCACTATACAATGAGAAGCTCTCACACAATTATCCCATACCGAAGGAAGTGTACAATAACCTAGAGGGACTGTACATCACGAAGCCCAGATTGCGTGCATACAATAAGTGAAGCGAAAACGTTACGTAGCAATTCGTTCGTAAAACAGTAAGAAAGCTTGGCAATTAAGGACATCGGATAGGGGGACTTTAGTCACTTGGTCATCAGAACATCGATACCACGGGCGATCATCTAAGTTAGCGCCTCCATCCGGAGGGTTCAAATTGGGGTCGAATGTTGATTCGGAATCCGAAAAAGGGAGACTGGATGATCTCGCAAGGGATTCAAGCAACTGTTCGCGATCACAGGTTCGAAGTCTCTGTACTAGATCATGAGGAGTTAAAGGCCACTTGACAGGTCGATGTAACATATTGAGTATTCGCTGCATATCTGGCTGAAGGCGTAATGAATCCCCACTGTTGGTAACTTCTGGCCCATCTGGTGACGCTGCAACGTAAGCCACATAATGTCCACGTGTCATGGAACCCATATGTTCAACAACACCATATAGGCGATAAAGCATGGAATCCACCGGGGACTGAGAGAGTGAGGAGTCAACCAAGTAAAAGACAAGAGGAACCGGTGAAAATAAATTCATTTCATGGTTACATGAGGGCACGGAATAAAAACAGCATACATCACGAGATCGGATGGATTATAGAAATGTGTGAGATACGGTTGGTCTAAAGGTGATGCTGCCGCCGTGCCAAAAAAGTTGTGTGTGAAGATCAACGTTGAGGTTAGCAGGAGGGATGCGATGTGATAAGTGTTGGTGCAATATGGTCTAGTTTCAGCACGAAAGGACGTAGCCACCAAAACGCAAATATACAAGTAAATGTCCAGACATGGGAGCTAGGTGGAATAAGCATCAGATTTGACTCTGTTGTTGACGGAGAAAATAACTGGGCTCGCAGTAGACGATTTGGGCGCGAAAATAGCATTGAGGGGTTGAGTTTCAGTCAACCCGAGATATTCGAAATCTACACAGTGTGCCAAGATAGCCTGTTGATTCCGATGTTAACTCGCAGCATACCATATAGTAGAAAAGTCGCAAATTCCGAGCGTTCGGAAGATGTTAGAGAAGTGTAAGTCTTAATATTCGTAAAACAATGGAGAATGGGTGACCTGCGCCGCTGAGCTTAGCGTATGTTTCATGGAGTTCATAAACAGACCGAGAAATGAAACAGTTATGCTGCATTGTACTGTGAGACGATGATTGACAGTGTTAAGATTGCAAAAATGAGTAATCAGTGCATGATGATATGAGTAGGCAGCATTTCGTTGCACAAAAGACCGCGCGACGCTTTCCCATCTTTGAGATGAGAGAGGATGGATTGATTAACTGGAAAAGAAACGTATAAAAATAACCATGATGAGTGCGATTTGTCCACGCGGAAGTTGCCGGGACAGCAGCTGGCCACGGCAAAGCCAAGGTTCAAAAGAACTGTTTGTGCACACACAACGGGGGTTGTTGAAACGAATCCCGATCGCCTCTGACAATGGAGGGATTCTGCGCATGATAAGCTTGGGATGGACACCCGTCACACAGTAGATGGTACGCATGTTTACATCCACACTCATGCTACATCTCCAGCTGAAGTATAAACCTTCCGTGGATATCATTTCCCTCCGAGTGTACCTAGTTACCGGTTCTTGTGGGGCAAGTCACATAGGTCACATCACGAAAGTTTTGTCTGAACGTATCCGCGAGCATGACCTGGTGTGGATAAGCCGAAGATTCAACAAAACGTGCAAAACAGCAATAGTCGCACACCTAGTCTCAACAAATTATCTCATCGTTGTTTCCACATCTTACTGGAGAAGAATAGTGAAGAGCGAATAATTGCACACACGAAGTGATAGTATGAATAGTGAATCATGAGTCATGTTGAAAAAGAACCACAAATACAGTTGCGGTAAAGTCGGTGCTTTTATAAAATGACATTTTAAAGCTGCTATTGTATATAAATGCTAGCAGGGATCCAAACGTTACTTACCAAGTATAGGGCGGAGCAGAAAGGACTAAGATCGAGAAGAATTGGAAACAAGACATGTCTCTGCGATTTTCGAAGACGATTTCCGCTCTAAAAACATATCAGAAAGTCAGTAAATTCAGATTGCAAATAATAAAAAGGAATTAAGTGTATATCAGGAATACATAAATAAATGTTTATGCTAGACAATGCGAGACATGTCAATCAAGGCATGCTCTGCGAATTACGGCCTTGCACGAAACACAGAACCCAGGGCGGTTAGGAAAGACACATCGGACAGAATCACGAACACGGTCCAAAGAGTAAAGACGATCGTCAGAAGTTGGAAACAGTTTGTAATTTTTGAAGAACAGCGGAAACGGAAAATCAAACCAGCTCACTGAATACAAAGCATGGCTTTTCATGGATACATACTTTGTCATCGCCGTTATTCACTAGGACGACGACGATGACAGCACAACGACAGGCAGAAAAGTGTGATCAAACTGGCAAAAGTGAATAAAGAAGCCTGATGTGAACCATAAATGCGCAAGTGAGGATGGAATCAGTGAGACGGATTCTGCCAAGCATTCAAAGCTACACGTCCCCGAGTGTCCTCAACACACGGATAGCTCAGCGACGTGCATTTGAGAAATAAGTAGACAGAACAGGAAGTGGCAGTAAGTCCATCCTCCTCCTATCCTCAGCCGTTACGCCATGACTAATACAAAAAGTAATACGAGTGGGTGAGCCAAGCACGGAACCCGAGTCGGATAAACCGAAACAAGTCATTGTGCAAAGCCACTTCATTTCTCGCCGTAAGGGACACACCAACGATCGCATTGTGAATTACGCCATGCGCAACACAGAACGAGAAAAACAAGTTTCTCCGAGGCAACATGCGAGCGGACATACGCAGAATATGCTCGAGCCAATGTAACTCGTTCAATCTCATTCGCTAATCAGACGAACAAACATGGTCGTTGGGGTTTGATACTCACCCGTGGAACCCAATCTTTGTGGACAAGTCGGTGCTAACCGACATTAGCAACGCGCTTTGAAAAAAAACGACTGCGGTTCTCAGACCAAGTTTCATTACCGTAGAATCGGTCCCAAGGTGGCATGGTATACAACACTGTGAGGACCAAAAAGAATCTCTGGATGCTCAAATATCCTGACTCTTAGCACAGGATCCCGTTCGTCCAACACACGACCTAATTAAAGTTATGTGCTCATCAATGCGAACGCAGTGACCAGGGTAGACCAACAAATCATGCATCATTGGTTCGCCACTAACAGTTGGTAATCTGACAATAGCATCTCACAATGGAGATGGAAAGAGTAAGTAAAAGAAAAAAAAACCAAGGACAAGTATGTCCATAATTGTCTGTATTGAAGTATTAGCCCAACGCCAGTTGTGACAAAATTACTGGTCTCAATTCTCGTTCTCCGCCCTACTGTGGAACGCAAATCTCGGATTAGTGAACAGCATGCAGGTTTCCGTCCTGGTCGTGACTGTATAGACCATATATTCCCTGTGCGGCAGGTGCCAGAACAGCGCCATGCATGACACAGACCGACAATAACTGTGTTACTCAATTTCAAGAGTGCGATCGATGCATGCTGTTCGAAATATTTGCGCGGAAAGGTGTTCCCACGAAATATGTGAACATTCGATGTGCCATATACTCGCACACTACAGGCTGCGTCAGGGTATACGGTGACCTGTCGGATAGCTTTCCGACCACAACTGGCGTTCGTCTCATTTTGGTTCGATTTCCTCGTGAACTCTATCATGGAGTGTTCTCTTGCGGAATCTCATGATGTAGGCGTTGAGGTTCTGCCTGGTGAAGGGTTAGTTGATCTTGATTATGCGGATGACATCGTCTTGCTTTTTGACGATGATGCGGCGGCACAATCAACCCTGAATAGCCTCTTTAGAATGGTCCTATTAATTGGTATGCGCTCCGCACAGTCAAAGTGCTGTTCCACGACCCCCAGCGGCTTGATGACCTCTTAACCCTTACTAAAGAGGAACTCGAAGTAGTTGATCAAATCACTTACTTTGGCAGCTGCATCAGCAACGATGGGTGCATAGATACTGAAGTCAGTTCATGCATCGCAAAGCCAGAACTGCCTTCTTGAACCTGCGGCATCTTTGGCGACAGAAGGGAGTTTCCCTCGATCTAAACGGCCGTGGATACAAGGCACAGTGAGAGCCATACTGCTCTATGAGTGGGAGTTGGCACCTTCGGTCTGAAGATCTGAGGCGCCTTCAAGTCTTTGATTATCGTTGTCTGTGGAGCATTACTGGTGTCGGGTGGAACCAGCGTGTCCGCAACGGTAATGTAAGTTGGCAAGTATTAGGCAGTGATAATCAAGCTAGTTCATTAAAAGAACAGATAGCACTAAATAAGTTGCGTTGGCTTGGGCACGTACCGCTTACCTAGGACGGCCTTATTTAGTCTGCCAAGTGTAGAGTGGCGCAAGGCTCGAGGTGGAGAAAATTTGAGTTGGTAGCCGGAAATGAAGCCACTGACGACTAAACTGGATGCCGCTGATCCGGCTCGCCTTCCGGGTTGAAGTCCACGTGAGCCGTCTTGTGCTTCGCTCGAGACTTTACAAGACATGGATCGCAGTCGGCACCAGTGGCGTGTCTGCTGTCGTCTCTTAGTCGGATTACCTGCCTAAAGTGTGTTTGGTGCTGGTTATCTACGGGGTAATGGCTGATTATGACGCGTGGCAGTGAAAGCCGCAAGGAAGCTGTCTCGCCGATGCCGTCTTATTTTTGCATGATAGCCAGCTGTTTGTGACGGTATGTTGTCTAGAGAAGGTGTAGGCGCCTTGACCCTGAATGTTTACTTATGACATTAAGGTTTTCAGGTAAGTCCCCCTTCTCTCCTTATTATTCTTTATTTCATAGGTTCCCATGGTTGTGTGGCAGCGAAGCATCAGTTCAAATGACTGATGTACTGCTGTTGTTGTTTTGTTTGCCTCGGGGTTATCGACCAGCATGATAATGGCAACCATGTAATTCGGAGCAAACGGGGTTACTTCGGGCATGATTACGAAAACTGCAAGGTGAGACTAAATGAGACAACGTTCCGCTGTAGTATGTATCGTAAAATTCGCCAGGAATAAGAAATATGAAACACATTCGACGAGCTACATTTACTTTAGCAATAGTAGTTGACAACTAGCCGTAGACAATGGACCGACTGGAAACGTCGAAGTGTAGGGTACTTAAATGTTCGCACACTTCATAAGAACGCCTCCACAGGTAAAGTACCTCGGAAAGAGCGTGGTAATTGCCGGAGTCGAAGGTGTCCCTAAAGTTGCGGGACTCACTTATGGTCTGCCTGCGGAGTGTGATGTCGCGCCAACACGCACAGTTCCGCCCTGATTGTAAGCCAGCTGACTTCTCTCCCGCCCGAAGTTTTGTTGTAATGCTGGATCTCTTGTTCTCTGCTTCGCTCCCTGACACTTCTGAAAGGTTAGGGATATTTTTGGATGGAATACGTCTAGGAAGCAGTTAACCACAGTTCTGTATGTGGAATTATGTACGATTTAATCTTCTCTGCCTCAGGCAATGACATCCGATACTGTCCCGCCTGTCGTTTGGATATGACGGTACACCACATTTGGCAAGCTACTCGCTCGGCCAGTCACATAGCCTGGGCACCGTGTAGATTCGCCAGGGCACGTCTTGATCCCGTGATATCGGCGAATAGGAGGAGGATCGATGTCTTTAACGTTGCCAATAAGTGCACCGCGTCGACGCCTCTGTGGTTAGTGTAAATGCAGCGAATGCTTTCGTTGACTTTTGTCACCACGACTATGTTGTGCATCGCAAAATATTGCTGAGTTGGTGTTAGACTCTGTCACCATACATACAGTGCGCGCAGCATGATAACTGGTGTAGTTGAATCAGGGAGCATAAATTAAAGGTCGCAGTTGATGATTCAAAGGTGGATTCTAACACTTACATAATGTCACCGATCTGAATCCCAATCGGATTAAAGTTTGAATGACACGTTCTTCAAGGTACCCAACCGAGGATGCTGACAGCAGTACAAAAAGGTGATGAGGGAGGATCGAGACAACCATTAAGTGATGGACTCTGGGAATGAGTGTAGAAGAGTGGAACAGTCTGGAGTAGTGTGTAACATAGGATAGCAGCGAAAGTGGGATACATACAGTGTGAGTATAAGTGCATGGTCCAAAGTAGGCATCAGTAGGAAGACAGCACGCCGTACCGAGGCTTCGCAGTCGGGCGACAACCACCAATTGCGTGGGGGCTAGAAACATTGGGGAGTCTCCTGTAACTAAGCAAGCTCAAAGCAGCAATCTGTGGAGTACAATCCAGACACTTGAAGCAACCGGCTGGTGTGTATGTCTAAATAATGGAGCCGCAAGGGAAGTCTGAAAAATCCAGGAGCAGCGCTCAGAGGATTAACTACTATCATGGTCACTAGGACAATACAAGAGATCCGTGGATGTCACAAATAATCTTACGGTAAAAGGTTAATCGAACGACGGTGTTGAAACCCACCTGCTGAAAGCGCTTGAAGTGTATGGTAAGTAGAAACGGAGGTTCGAGAATCATGTCACGCCGCACAACATTTTTAAAGTCCACAACTTGAGACGGCTTGCTGTGGATAACTCCCGCACGATCAGCAGTTTTATTTGCTGCGCAACACGCCTCGCAAACAGAACGATTCAGATCAGTCAAATGTTCTGGAGCCGTGAATTTTGCAAGACAAGCATCGAGCGTAACAACATCGGAAGCAATAGATGAGGTAGCCTTGCTAGAGCGTAAAGGAAGCTGAGAGAAACGAATGGCTTGGGTCAACTCGTCCGAGTCAAACAGGTCGGGCTGTGTTGGGGTAAGGGTGAGTTTTGACAACTGATGAACGGGGACCGATTCAGTGGTACAGTCAGATAGACCATCTCGTTCATCTGAGCCGGATGTTTTAGTTGGACTGTGGTGTTTAGAAGACAAACTGGAGAGCGACTCAGAGTGCAAAGGTCCATTCTCATTATCGCTTCCAACACAACTGGAACCATCTGAAGAAAAGATAGTGCAAATGAAGCAACGAGAATGACGTGAATAAGGTCAGTGGCGAACAGGAGTAGAAACGATACAGGAAAAAGTAGTTTCGAGAAATCAACACGAGAACAAAGCTTGTAATATCGAACTACGTGAATCTGCGGAAGCATGATCATCATTACACATTAGCTGAAGATAAAAAGAACACTTGGTATTGTGTCCTAATAAGCACAGTAAGCCTAGCCGCAACCCCACTGCAGCCATCAAACACTTCAGAAAATTGTGTAACCTTCCATATCAGTTAAGGCTGAGGACCTTAAGATTGCGCAGCGATCAGTATTGGCGCCTATAAAGACCTAGCAATGATTTATTAGATTCTGTGAAATCCCAAGCACGTATGCCGCCATCTGCTGCAACTCAGTCACAGCAGGAACCTGAAGCCACAGATTCAAGTTTCCCGCACACCAAAGCCGCTTGGAATCTCGTTGAAAGAGGAATTATGTAAAACATTGATGCGGAGTCGCAGGTACTTTTATACTCGATAACTTAAAAAGGAAGTGCGACAAAGAAAGAATTAACCGGGAAGACGGCAGTGATAGCGTCCGACTATTCCGGGGATAGGGTTTCCTCTGGGGACACCCATTCGCAGTGATGATTCAATATTCATACCCGAAAAAAAGAAAAAGGCATCAGCTCTACACCGGCACATCGTACCGACGCTTCGTTGTTACGCGACTGCCACCAGTCGTGTGTGGGATGGGCGTACAACGATACCGTCCGCGGATTCGAACCGGGAAACTCTGGATTACAACTTAGAGGCGTTATGCTCTCGGCCACTAGCCGAAGACTACTGCTCCTGTGGTAAAATAATTAATTTGCATTGTGATCTGAGCTTCTAGCAAAGTAATTCATCTGTCCAATAGAATAGCGCAGTGGTACAAAAATAACAGAAGTTGGTGAAAGATAGATCAGCTTTGATAAACTACTAATCAGTGCATACCAATATTATCCAACTGATGGGAATTCTGCGGAGACGGAGTATAGTCAATAATGGTATTTGTAGGAGGAATGGGTGATTCACATGGCACAAATGGGATAGAGGAATCGGAATCGCGTGGGTCCGCAGCGTCGAGGTCGCTGATGACCCGATCGGGCGAAGCGGGTGGATCGGAGTGAATATCTTCTTCGGGTCTCGGAGTCCGGAAAGACTCGCGCCTGAAATTTTTCTTTTTCCTTTTACGCTATAAAAAACGAACAGGAAAGAGGTGTAGACAAGAAATTTGACGCAGATAGAGCAAAAAAGTAGTTCATTAGATCTTATGAGAATGCCAAGGGCATGAATACGGTAAACCGGCCAGAGATATCCTCGGAAAAAGTTATTACTTCAGAAGGACAGTTAGCCATTTCAAGCATATCCTAGCTTTATTCAGCAAGCCACAAGTTTCCTTAGTAGAGTTATATGTAAGGTTTGAGGTATATGTTTTCCGAGGTGCCTGCCACTGAGAACAGCTAAAGGACGTCCGTGAATAGACAAGGAAGATGTGTGCCCCACACCTAGATCCATCGTAAATCTGGAAGAAACAACACAGTGAGGTATGTGCGGACGGGAGCCACGATTAATTTAGAGCCGACCCTAGTCCCTTTAGCATGCACATCATTCGTAGGAAATGAACGGGAAGGTCGATGTTCAGCTGAACACTCAAATGTGAACTTGCTTGCGGTATAATAAAAACGAGGAAAATGACACTCGACAAACACTATAGGTCACAAGAAACTAAAATCAAGCGAGTGTCAGACTGCCGTGTGGTAATAGATACTTGTCGGTGAGTTAATGTAAGCCGTTGCCTCTTTCGCCAAATATCATTTTTTGTCATCTATGGCAGATAGATCCGTTTTGCAACAGGCAGACAGATTCTTGATTTACACAACTTTCAAGGCCACTGAGACCGCTGTACTCCATCCCCCGTTTGAATACAAATGCTGAGATGCTGCGCACTGTTCCTGATTTATTGCTTTTGGACAACTTTTACGTCAACTGAAAGCAGTTATGAAGAGCAATTCGAATAAAACCTTGCCCCGAAGACTGCATGCAAAGCTCGGGGATTTGGTTCGACATTGCGCAGGAAAGCCAGCCCGTTTACCACAGTGGTGACAATGTAGCCTTCTTCATTTTAGTCTACGCATTAGTAAAAGATTGCATTTTTGATGCCAATTTAGTACATTTGCAGTTGATAAAGTAAAATGCTGAAAATGCACTAATTTGGGTATATAAAACCTATTTTGAATGAATGAGTAATGAGCGCTTAATGGCAAATTGAGATGTTTGCTCACAAATACCCTAACAGTAGCCCACCAGATGCTTGGTGCTATTTACGTTGTTGCCGAATAAACGGCAACAGAATAAGAATAGGACAGACAAGTACATACCTCTCGCTTCACTTCTTGTTTAGATTTCTTGGTCTCTAAAAGGCGAGCGAAATGAGAATATGCTAACAACGTGACGCTAGATGATAGTACGCATTCAAGTAACTAGTGATTCGGTACAATCAGTATCATTAACATGCCAAGATACAATTTTCAGCATTACCACGTGCAACAGAAGGCCCACTATGTACGCCACTGTTCGCGGAAACCACTCCGTCCGGTATCGGCAAGGAGAGATCGAGGAATGGTTCGAAACCGATGCGTGTCGCATTACAGGTGGAACATTGGAGTGAACTCACAATAATACCCCCGAATAACCGGTCGACTAGTGTAGCAACGGAAGCCGTCTTACGCCAAGAATGCACAAGCTGACGATCCTCTGGTGCGGCACTCTACGAGCAAAGAAGGAAAGAAACGGCATTTAACATAATCGCTTACGAAAAACACATGAGAATAAGGCAATGATCATGTAGTTGAATGAATTCAAAAGTTAGAGAATTAGGGGGGTTTCGGGAAGTGTCATACAAATTCGGTGTACAGGGTGTTGGAGGTATGACCGAGAAGCATAACTCAAAGTGCCGGTAGCCCGGGTTTGATGTTGACTTTTTGGTCAGGTAGACATTTCATCTGCACGTGGGATGAAATCTGCAATGTGTGGCATTAAACACCTTCGTGAGTGAGTACTAGTCCACAGACAAATCCGGACACGTAGTCGCGATTTTGCTTACACCTGTGCATTAATAGTCACCCTAAGTGGTTATAAAGCGTGTGTAGCTGAAGTACAGGGTTAGCGAGCAAGTCAGCGGGTGATCGGTATCCGCGCCTGATAACCTAACGGATGCAACACAAGTGGGTGTAAAGGCATTTTTTGCGTCAGGGGAGATGTGCCGTGGGGAGTAACTTCGATACATGAATCAGAAACATAACGATTCAGCTCAGTCACAAACTATGATCCGCGCACCGAAGCGGAACGAGTTCACGCGTACTAACTCATGTCGCCAAACAACAGTAGTAGGTAATAATCGTAAATAACGATAACTCAAGGAAATTGAGCATTAAGGCAAAATGGTCAGATGTGGCGGGTGTTAGTCGGAAACAAAAATATGGACACAACCGCCAGTGGTGTCGTGACTGCGTCCTGGTTGACAAGGCATAAAACCAATGTCAACCATGCAGAGAAACGCCACTCATCAGGCCTATGTAGCATTTCAGCGAGCTTCATGTTTCTCTAGCGCATCCCTCGTAGACTACCTCCGTATTTCTATCAACTAGATGCAACATTGGTAAACACATCGAAGCAAGAAAACAAGCAGACATGCGAAGGATATGACCCAGTCGGCGTAGGTCGTTCCAGTTCAACGGACATCCCTACGTAACACCGGTTTCCGTTGCTAAAAGCCAAACGAGGAACCTATATAGCATTTGTTCGATCTCTCCACGAAATGAGAGCAATTCATTACAAGCATCAGTGATCCAGCATGGTTAGCCCCTTAATGGACTCATAGCGCAACGGCGATGGCCGACCCAGAAGGCAACACTGGCCTGAGGCAGCAGTAGTGCGATAGAAAGCTGTACGGAAACTCCACTGTCACGCGACTACCACTGGACGCATGAGGATCAGATCTATTGCGAGGTGGCTTGAACTTACGCGGATTTGAACAGGTGACCCGTGGATTACCAGCCAGATTTCTGAATATCTTGGCCATCTGCCAGCAACAGCAGCGTTGTAGACAATACTTTTAGCCACAGGCGAAGTGAACCATCTGCCTTTCAAATGGACCGAAAAAGTCCAATGTGGGAACGTTCGCAGAGCGTTTCGGCACACTTCCAAGGCTATAGTGCTACAAGACAGGCAGAGCTCCGAGATTCCTGACAAAACATGCAGCACCGATAAGAAGGTAGCTGTAATACGCCGGTACACAGTACCGATGCTTTGCTGGCGCGCAAGCACCACCAGTCGCATGTGCGTGAAGAATATTGCGAGGGTCGACCAATCCTCTACGCAAGCTCCAACGCGTGCCTTCAGATTCCAAGGCAGACCACGGGCCCGTATCTACATCAAACCTTTGCTGCAAGCCCCATCCAATTCGCGCAAGTCAGAATTTTGCCACACTACCTTTGGTAGGACGTCACCCTTAATCAGCTGACATTTTTACCAGTTGAAAACACCCTTACCAGCTTACGGGCCTAACTTGTTGGTTAGAATCCCGGTCCAACCATCCTAGCTTTCAAACTATACTTGGAAGCATAGTCCAAAGGCGCAGAGCCCGAAAACTTTATCCTGTTCGCGTCAAGTCGCAACTGAACTTGAACTTGCAGTCCAATGACTCTGCGATCGATCGTTTGTGGACATCTGGACGCTATCCAGCCGCCATGCTGCATCCTGCCCAGTCTAGATAGGTTCTCGCCTAACGAGTGATCTGTTTATCGTACCAGCAAGCAAAACAGGACTCCCCACCTGCACTTCGATGTTTGAGTTGCTTTACTTATCTGTACATAGGAAGTAAAACAAGAACAGGCTTGTACCATATTTTCATACCCGTGAGCTCACTCCAATTTTGGTGTCATTGGCTAACCAGCTTTTTGCCTTCCTCTCTCGTTGTTTTTGTCTTTTTATAATACTCTGCATTTTTAGTACTCATGTTGTAGTGTTCCACCTTATTTAATTAGCTCTAAACCTGGTATTTCCCGTGTATTTCCGGTTTCTCGGCGTTGGTAATGGAATCAACAGACAATATTGTGGCGTGCATACCTGCAAGGGTGTAGTAGATAAAGGCATAGTATGACAAATGCTTACTAACGTACCACAATGTTTGTTCACGGTTAGATGAAAAGTCGACTGGGGTCTATTCACTTTACCTTAAATGGAAGTGGATTTGTTTTCATTGTGTGTACTTGGCGGACACTTTCTCGCATTTCTGAGTGGAGAACTTCTGATTCAGTCCCGTCATGTCATAGAGAAGCAAAAGACCTCGGAAAAGAAGAATCTGAATAGGCTCAGCATGGTAGAAATATTTATCTGGGAACTGCGACCTATCGTCGAAGAGCGCCGAGCTTCGAACAGTATGTACGTAATACTGAAATTACGATGGGAAGGCAGAAAAAGGTGCTTTTCCACAACCGGGAAGAGCCGGTGATACCAGAGGCTAAGACTAGGCATGATTTAGATAGGAGACGTTTTCACGATATACTACATATTGTTGGTGTATCGCCTTTGGTTGGCATCAAAAGGATCCATCGAGTTGGTAGTTGGAAGAATGTAAGTGCTTTGCACCAGGAGGGCCTTGCAGGACTGATCATAGTAGAGTTTAAAAACCTGATATATCGGGATCTTCATAACCGAGCAGGTCTATTAGCTGGTCAAACAAATGGTCATTACCAGGTGACCCCAGATACGCTCGCATAACGCGCCCAATTTACCTCATTAGTACCGCCGCACAATGTGAACATTAGCCCTGTTGTACCAGTGAACCAACACTGCAATCACAAGTTCGGTGTTAACTATATGCCACATGGAGCTAATGGGCTTCACTCTCCCCAGATGGATGCTTCTACCTCTCCATGGAACGCGGCTACGGCAGACCTCGACTTTCTCGAGGCTACCCAAGGAGTACCTCCTTTGAATAATTCCATTGATAGGTTGAAGAGTAGTGGGGTCCTGAACTCTCCACTTACGGGAGTTCAGGCTGTGGGTAAGCGATTGAGCACGACTGCTGTTGCCAACTCAGAGGAAACAGAAACGAATTCAACAGGAACTACGATTGATCCAGTTACCGGGCATAGGGAAGTGCTCTCCGACGACGTTGTCCAAGTCAAGTGCAACTGTGAGGTCGCTGGCTACCGAGGTCAAGACCATGCGCCGGAAAACGAAAAAATAACTTGAGACGCGAGTCACCAAAACAGCCAGAAGTGACTTTTAACTACCAACACAAACAGCCGTGTACTGTCTCCACATATACATGTTGAAGTCCCAATAACTCCTGTTACACAAGCGCCAAAGAACGGGCTGTCCGCTTGGGTTCTGCGCCTTAGGGGAACTTTAAAAGGACATTTGAGAGCAGAAAGAGACTGCGGCAGGCACCAATAATTGTCTGGTACACGAATGCTTGTAGCTGAAGAAATAAGTGGGGGGGGGCTAGCGTTGAGATGCAGAGGTGTTGATGTGGTTGCGATTACCGTGACCTGGCTTTCTCCGAATGATTCATTAAACGATTGTCTCCTAACTGAATTCTCGGAACACAAAAAAGACCGTCCTGAGTGCCAAAGTGATGGCCGGGTGCTTTTGCTTATTCGTTCTCTTTATTGTCATTGGGAAGCCCCGTACACCATACGTACCACCAAGTGTCCAGATCAGTTCATGTTTTATGAGAGTGTGACGTAGGGTCGAATTAATTGCTTGTGTTTACCGCAGCCCGTCCTCGACGCAAAGATAGGACAAGGAGCTAAGCGATTTGTTAAAACGAGCTGCTCCTTTAACCCCAAGCTTTGTAATAGTTGGTGACCTTAACCTACCACATGCCGACTGGGAGCATGCAATCAATAAAGCAGACTCTTTGGAAGGACACTGACTGCAGTGGGTGCATCAACACGCCATTGTGTAACACGTTAATTTTCCAACTAGAAGTCATGGCGGGAATGCTCCCTCTTCCTTAGACGTTGTAATCACGAAACATTGTCGGTTGTCAGGCATTACCATGGGAGCTCCCATCGGTAAACGTGATCACTTTGTTCTTCCTTTTTCCATTAGGTTGCCGAATATATCCGGTGAACCCCGCATGACACGGAACCTCAGCCGGATTAATCCCATGCTTTTGAGGGGGAGCCATGAGCATTACTTGGGTTCCTGAACGAGCAGAGGCAACTCTGGAACAGAAGCGCCATATGATCAAAACTGGGCTCACGCTGCTGCTAGAGAAGTTTGCTCACTTAGGAAAGTCTCGTTGGTGGCACCGAAGAATTGTCAGAGCGCTGAAACGGCTCAATGTCCTATGGAAATGGTTCAGTGAGACCGGCAGATTCCGTAGGTGGCAGAGCTACAAGAAATATCGCAATTTGGTTGTCAAATTGCAGACAAGCCAAATAGTCGTACAAGCTTAGGCTGGCGCGTAATGTAAAGACGAATCCGAAACGCTACTACAGCTATGTGCAGTCGAAGTATTCTTTAAGAGTTGTTGGTAACTTAAATACAGAAGATGGTCTCCAGGTTACAAAAGACCTAGACAAGGCGCAGGAGTTACTGCGTGTTTTTCAGAAAGTGCACCGAGTGGACAATGAGTATTCAATCAACTCGAGCTCCATAGCAAAAACGAGGGAAAATGGGGGAAATCGAACTAACTGTAGCAGATGTCCTCTACGTTCTGAAAGACTTAACCCCCTACAAATCCCCTGGCTC